ATTATTTTTATAATAAAAAATTATTGTTAAATTATTTAAATAATTAATAAATAATTATTTTTTTAATGTAATATAATCATGTGATAATACTACGTCATTTTTGCTATTTCCTTTGCTTATCTTCTCGTTTCTTGTATTATTAGATTATTACATGGTCGAAGGGCTGTCAGGCTAAATTTTTGTTAAAGGGCTCATGCCAAAGTGGAATTCGTTCAAGAGAGATTATAATAAAATTTGTTTATTAAAAGGAATCATTGACGGGGAGAAAAAGAGAGACTAACGAGTTGAAGAATCTTGTCTTCCATGGCAATATATAGAGAAAGATTTTAATTCCACATATATGACAAGATATACCGAAAAGGTTTTCTTTTTTCTCAATCGAACTAATTAAAAAAATTATATTAATATTATGCGGAAATGGTTTAATGTCATTAATTTATAGGTTTTGATGACAAATAGAATAAGGTTTTGATTCCAAGACAGGATCTACGGAAACATTTTTAAATGTCCTTAATTTATAGGGGGCATGATTGATTTTTTCTTTATTACAAGATGATGACTATTAAATCTCTGAGACATTTTTAAATTTATAGATTTTTTGGTGAAACATTAATTTATTATACCAAGGATTATATATATTAATAATAACTGATAAATATTTAATTTTATTATATATATTAATAATAAAAAATATAAAAAATATATTCTTATTTTAAACACATTGAATAGAAAAACTCTTATTTTTATTATTTTAATGTTTACCACCTGGGTCAGTGGGTCTCGAGAATTAGAATTAGATACTTCTTTGCCCTTTTGTGGGGATAGGGAATTAGATGCTTGTGCTCATAGCTCTTTAAGACTGGATCGGTTATTTATTTATTATTATTTATTCCGTTTTGTTGTCCCAGTGTTCATCATGCATGTGGGTCAGTGGATTCTGAGAAGAGCGATGCTAGGGGCACTCGCTTTCCGCACTCTCCTGCCAATATTAAAATTATTAAAATTGAGATTTTACTTAAAATCAAAAGG